TTTTCTATGTATGTCAATGCGATTACTTGGAATATGAAGCTGTAACCACAGACCGTCTAGGTGCTGTAACTAAATCTTGGTGTAAGCACCGGTTAGGTAGTCTTGAACTATGCATGTGGAGCCAGCTGAGGGTATATCCAATCCTATAGATTTCTCATTGTTTGGTTACTATTTGCTGCAAATGCAACAAAAATCAATATAAAAATATTACCCACACAGCATTCTACAGGTTACTTGTAACATAATTGTGGTCCTTCGCTCATATTTATAATATAAACGTGGTCCTTCGCTCATTTTAGCCACGTAATCACGGTCATTCGCTCATATTTATAATAAAAACGAGGTCCTTCGCTCATATTTATAATATAAACGTGGTCCTTCGCTCATACTAGTATTTATAACGTACTCATGATCCTTCGCTCATAATAAACGTGGTCCTTCGCTCATTTTAGCCACGTAATCACGGTCATTTGCTCATATTTACAATAAAAACGAGGTCCTTCGCTTATATTTATAATATAATTGTGATCCTTCGCTCTTATATTTATCATGTAATGTATTTATTAAGGTATTTTTGTAAATTTGATCGTTACTGCATAATTTGTGAACAAATCTACACCAGGTCCTTAGTAATTAATGACAGACGTAAAATGCCATAATGTTAATTCGCGAAAATTTAAACACACTGACACTGATTTAAATACACTGATATGATATTGATACTAATAAATTGAAAATTTTGCCAAAAAAAACTAAATTTGCTATCTCATGGAAATAATTAAAATCAACTTATTTGGCAATATATTAAGTTTTGCGGCGTATGCTCACGATTGAAATATCATATAAAATGGGCCTAATATACTAATGTTGTGTTTATTTAATTGTAAGAACGAGTTTACATCCTGGAATGTCCACGATGTACCACGGATCAAATCTGCTGGCTTTCTATAAAGCTGTCCTATTCTTTGCAAGCTTTGCTCCTAACTTTACCAACATTTCGCACAATATTTTCGAATTATCATAGTGTTACTGCAGTATTCGAAAGTCTGCACATTTTAAATGTTCTCTATTGACGTACAATGATATATTTTAATGTGAGTTACAGAGTAGAACGTACACTGATATATTTTAATATGAGTTACAGAGTAGAATGTACTGTGCTTTATTTTAATGTGAGTTACAGAGTAGAACGTACACTGATATATTTTCATGTGAGTTACAGAGTAGAACGTACACTCATATGATATATTTTAATGGGATTTACAGAGTAGAACGTACACTGATTTATTTTAATGTGTGTTACAGAGTAGAACGTACACTGGTATATTTTAATATGAGTTACATAGTAGAACGTACTGTGCTTTATTTTAATGTGAGTTACAGAGTAGAACGTACACTGATATATTTTAATGTGAGTTACAGAGTAGAACGTACACTGATATATTTTAATGTGAGTTACAGAG